GTTAGTTGTGCTATCTGAGGTGGCACTGAAGTTATGTTACTTTTAAAGAACTCAAGGGTCTCCAGTGTCACCAGCTTACACACTGACATTGGAAATGCTTTCAACTGGTTCTGAGACAGGTTTAATCCCTTCAGGTTCTTAAGTTGTGTTATCTGAGGTGGCACTGTAGTGATGTTGGTTCGTGAGATGTCTAGGGTCTCCAGTGTCACCAGCTTACACACTGATATTGGGAATTTATTAAGGGGGTTCCAAGATAGCCTCAATTCCTTCAGATTCTTAAGTTGTGTTATCTGAGGTGGCACCGTAAAAATGATGTTGTTCCAAATGTTAAGGGTCTCCAGTGTCACAAGATCACACACTGACATTGGAAATTCTTTCAACTGGTTCCCAGATATATTCAATTCCTTTAGATTTTTAAGTTGTGTTAACTGAGGTGGCATCGTTGTGATGTTGGTACTTGAGATGTTTAGGGTCTCCAGTGTCACCAGCTTACAAACTGATAATGGGAATTCTTTCAACTGGTTCCCAGATATATTCAATTCCTTCAGATTTTTAAGTTGTGTTATTTGAGCTGGCACCGTGGTAACATTGGAGTGAGAGAGCTTCAACGTCTTGAGTGTTTCCAGCCCCATCAATGACTGTGGAAATTCCTCTAACTGGTTACTAGACAGGTCTATTCCATTTAGATTTGTGAACTGTTTTATCTGTTGTGGGATTGTAGTAATATTGGCACTCGCCAAATTAAGGTTTTCCAAGGTTTTCATCTCTAATATTGTAAATGGGAATTCCTCTAACGGATTTTTTGAGATATCTAAATTTTTTAAGTTACACAGTCTTTTAAAATTTGGGCTGAAGGTAGTTATTTTGTTGTTCTTTAGATCGAGTTCCTCCAAAGTCAGGAGTCTACATACTGGTAGTGGTATCTCTGTCAGCTGGTTTCCAGATAGGTTAAGCTTTCTCAAATGTTTGGGCACGGTTATTTCTGGGGGAATTGAAGTAATACTGCAATTGGACATGTTTAACTCTTCAAGTGTCTCCAGATTAAAAATTGCCATGATGTGTTCTTCCTCCGTTAGATGGTTTTTGGAAACATTAAGTGTCGTAAGTTTTGTACAGCGTAGTATGCTATATGGAAGTCTGCATCCCAGTCCTGTAAGGTTAAGTTCTGTCCATGTTCCTACCTGGTCCACGCCTGGCCCTTGGTAACTGGGATCTTCATCCAGTTTATAAAGAATATCTAGTTTTTCCTGGTCTACATACTGGCTACGGTTCAAATCCTGGTCCCGGTGTTCATATTGCCTTTGGCGGTGTGAAACATTGTCCAATTTGCTTAAAATTGAACCCATTTTCTATTTTATTGGATAATCTTCAAAGATTTAACTATCGGTCCTGGGAAAGAATGCGTTTTGGTGAATATATCATACTTGTGGTAGGAGATAGGGAAATATTTATTTTTGCAGTGCCGACTAACATGTACTAAACGTGCCTAATTATTCAATGAATGCCTATTAATAGCATTGCATGCAATAGTAGTGAGTCTTTAAAATGAGGCTTTACAATGATAAAATAAAGCCTACGCCGTGTTTCAAGGTTTGTTTTCGGTGTTTTTAAGTGTTGTTCAGGGTGAAGACGCAAAAGGCCCTAGCAAACCCTAATACAATGTACCAGTATGTCGACTGTCTCTCTGCACTGGACTGGGAGTTATTATCTTTACTGTTCTTTTTTAGCAGTCAAATGTACCATTATGTCTAATGTCTCCTTGTCGTTGGCGGAATATTGGTTTTCTTTAACTTTCTCTAGAAGAAAACAAAGGTACTGTTATGTTGACTGTCTACCTGCACTGGGCTTAGTGTTGGTTCTTTAGCTGCTCACATAAAGGTGTCTATGACTGGGTTCCCATACATAGATCAATCCATCTGGGAAAGAATATCCATCTGGATCGATCTAACTCCCTGGGGAGTCTCACTAAATTGTTATCAGCTAACTGGCTTAAATGTCTGTCACGCCTACCAAATTAGCAAAGGGGGTAAAGATAATTACCCCCTAACAGCTTTACTAGGCGTGACAGACATTTAAGCCGGCCAAGTTGACAGCAATTTAGTGACACTCCCCAGGGAGATTGATCGATCCAAATATTCTGGGTGCTGTTTAATTTAATGGTAAACCATTATCATAAACGACGGTTTTAATGGAATCGAATTAAAATAAGCAAAGAAAAACAGTTTACTCCCTCTATGAAAACTAATATATTTTGTTTTGACGTGAGGAATACACTCGACCAAAAATGTTTGGAAACTGTTAATTTGAATAATTATAAAATAACTATATGAGTCAAGATGAACACTTTAGCCAGATATTGATGGATAAAGCAACCACCGTTTGTTACTTTTAGAAAAAAAATCCAAGGAAGAATTTCTGTGGAAATTGCAGCGACATTTATCAAGGGCCAAATGGGGTGAATCATGAAAGACAAATGACGAAGTTTGAAGTTTAAGCAAGTTTCGTCAGTGAATGGTTATTTTTTTAGACTAACAATGTGTAGGCCACTATTGAAATAAAATCTTGAGGCTGTTTATCACCAATATCGTGTGAAAGCTTAACTGATTATTGTCCATAATTGCTCAAACTTGGTCACTCCATTTGCATGTCCACGACAAAGAGTTGTGGTAGAGATAATTGTCAATGGGGAATTTAGCTAGAATCATTATATGCGCTTGTCTAAGAGAAATCTAGTTCATATGGTGTACATATGCCAAGATAAGCCAGCACATCATATTTAGTGTTTCATAATTTGTGGAAGATATCCGAGAATGAAATGTTTCGTACAAAATTCTTAGCTGATTTTTTTCTATGTAAAACAATAAAAAATTAGTTACCAAAAGGATACCAGTTACTGTGTGATACTTTTTCTGTATTACTCCTAAATGTTGCCGCATTTGACTTCACCATTTCTATTTCATTTACATGATGTACACCATAATTGTACCAATAAATATTAAATATGGTGAAATAAGGACTCCGGGAGGTAATATCAGTCATAACATGCAATCTCTCTCAGGGATTCACGGCAGCTGACTCATTAAAACTTTCATAATGCATAACCGCACACAATATTCCATTAGAACCTACCAACCCCACCTTACATCCCTGAGCAGAAACTTAAAGTACGTGAAACTGAAAAAGTTAAGAAATGTAGACTAACCTTGTCAATAAGCGTGTAGCATTTAACAATCCAATGGTCTCACCAAAGGGCATCCCTGAGGAAAACGAAATATAATACACAATAATAAAACCCACCACAATCCATCTCACACTTCCCAAGAATTCTTGATATAATATCTCCATTTCCAAATGATACATACAACCCTTTTCTAAAAGAAAGTTGTTTTAACAATCCACTAAGGGAACTAACTGATTATTCTTTTAATTTGTGGAATCATTGCATTCGTGATTCATGTCTTTTGTTTATCCCAACCAATTAAATTTGAATGAATGGGGGGGGGGGGGGGGGGGGGGGGGATATTTTAAAAAAAGAAGGTTTTTTCCCGGGAAGCCCCCCCCCC